CGTAATTTTCAGTGATGCATCTTATAAGGGTTTGGGTTGTGTGTTAATGCAGAACGGAAAGGTTATTGCCTACGCCTCCCGACAGTTGAGGCCACATGAGAAGAATTATCCAACACATGACCTAGAACTGGCCGCAGTTGTTTTCGCTTTGAAAATCTGGCGGCATTATTTTTACGGGGCAAAGTGTGAAATCTACACGGATCATAAGAGCTTGAAATACTTCTTCACGTAGAAAGAGTTGAATATGCGTCAGAGAAGATGGTTGGAACTGATAAAAGATTACGACCTAGAGATTCAGTATCATCCCGGGAATGCTAATACAGTAGCTGATGCCTTGAGTAGAAAATCAACGGGGAGTATGGCTTGTTTGCTTACCGAACAGAAAGAGATCTTGCAAGATTTTGAGATGTCTGAAATTGAAGTGGTAATGTGCGAACAGGACGGATTGATAACCGCTATTACAGCCGAGCCAGCAATTGTTGATGAAATCAAGTAGAAACAGAAAGAGGATGAGTTCCTCAGAAAGGTAATGGATGAATTTGAGACGAGTTCAAAAGCAGAATTTAACATTGAGAATGAAATGTTGAAATTCCAGAACCGAATATGTGTCCCTGATATCCCAGAACTAAAGAGGAGGGTCTTAGATGAAACCCACAGATCCGTATTTGCTATGCATCCGAGCAACAATAAAATGTACCGGGATTTGAAACAGACCTGTTGGTGGCCTAAAATGAAGAAAGAGATTGCAAAATATGTGTCCAAGTGCCTTCAGTGTCAGCAAGTTAAGGCTGAACATTAGAAACCAGGCGGTCTACTTCAACCTCTCCCTATTCCTGAATGGAAGTGGGAACATGTGACTATGGCTTTCGTTGTTAGCCTACCTCGGACTTCTCGAGGTATGGATTCCGTTTGGGTTATAGTTGATAGACTGACTAAATCTGCACACTTTCTGTCTGCCAAAACTACATTTGTTGATTATAGATTGGCTACTATTTATTTTGACAAAATTGTCCGTTTACACGGAGTTCCGGTATCTATTGTGTCAGATAGAGATCCGAAATTTGTATCTAGATTGTGGAAAAGTTTGCAGGAAGCTATGGGAACAGAACTAAGGTTCAGTACTGCATTCCACCCACAAACAGATGGGCAGTCAGAACGAACGATACAAACTTTGAAAGATATGCTTCGCATGTGTGCTTTGGACTTTCAGGGGAGTTGGGAAGATTATTTGCCACTTGCAGAATTTTCTTATAATAACAGCTTCCACTCCAGCATCGGTATGGTACCATACGAGGCTTTGTATGGTATGAGGTGTAGATCACCTATTTGTTGGTTAGAGGTCGGGGATAGAGCTTTGCTTGGGCCAGAAATTGTGCAAGACACTTCTTAAAAGATCAAAACCATTTGGCAAAGGCTCAAAACAGCTCAAGACCGATAGAAGAATTATGCAGATGTTCGGAGAAGACCTCTTGAGTATGAGGTTGGTGACCATGTGTTCATCCGTGTTTCTCCGATGAAAGGCCAAGTCAGATTTGGAAAAAAAGGCAAGTTGTCGCCCTGTTACATTGGGCTGCTTCAAATTTTGGAGAGGCTTGGTCCAGTTGCCTACAGAGTTGCTTTGCCACCCGGATTCGAACAAATCCATAATGTGTTTCATGTGTTGATGTTGAGGGGTTACCTCCGAGACCCGTTACATGTGATTGATTATCACCGGGTTGCTATTGATGAAAATATGGAATATGTTGAATGGCCGAAACGAATTGTTGATCGGCAAGTGGAACGAATTGTTGATCGGGAAGTGAAACAATTGAGTAGCAAGTCCATCCCAATGGTGAAAGTGGAATGGAAAGAACACTACGAGACGGATGCTACATGGGAAAAAGAGGAAGAAATGCGTCTACGCTATCCATACTTGTTTCCCGACGAAGGTAAATTAAGTTTGGAGGACCAAACTTCCTAAAGGGGGGAAGACTGTGATACCCCTATTCCGTAGTATGCTGATTGGTCCTTAAATTGAGTATGATTATGTGTTTAGCATGATTTTATGTGCCATTATGTGAATATATGTGATTTTGAAGTTCTATCTGTTCACCGTAGGAATATCTGTTTGAATAATCTGCTTTGGAAATTAAATTGAGGGCCTTATCGGCCATAGAACACGAAATTGATTATGCCATTGTAATTAGCATAATTTTTAGAGCCTACGGTGAAATTTAATTGAATATTGATTCGGGTCAGATTAAATTGATCTATTTAATGGCATTGTGCTCAAATTGTTTAATATTTTTTTTTATTGTGGCTAGTGGGGTTTGTTGTATTTGAGCACTACACTTCCCATTCTCTCCTTTGACCTCATTTTGGCTGATCAAACCTTGAGAAAGGGAGAGAGAGCCGGCTGTTAGAGAGAGGGAGGAGAGAATTGTGCATTGTGGTTCAAGACTCGGACCTTTTGGAGATTAAAGCTCCTTAGTAAGTGATTCATGCATTTATAGTCATCATCTTGTGAATTCAAGTTTAATAGCTGGTCAAGAGCATGAATTAGTTTGAAAGTAATGGAATTGAGTTGTATATGTTGGATTTCAAGTTACTAGAAGCATGCATGTAAAGAATTGCTATAGATTTCCATGTTTGAGCTTGATTGTGTAATCTATGTAGAAGTTTGAATGAAATCCACGTGCATGACCATTTCTTCACCAAATAAGTTGTGAATAATGTGTATTTCTTACATGCAAGAGTATATCAAGAAAGGGTGAGCTTTGCATGCTTGAATGAAATGTATTGGTGATGAGTTTGATGGGAGATTGGGGCATGCATGTGAATTATTTGTGAATTGAGCTCCATTGGGTTGTGATTTGGGGTTTACATCATGTTAGTATGATAATATTTGAGAATTGGGCCATAACATGCATGATTTGTTGGTTAAAAATTGAATTGGAGCTCAAGAACTTAATCTGGGAAAACCCAGATTTTTGATGTCCGCTCGAGCGGGGTGACTTCCGCTCGAGGTGGAAAATCGTGCTCCCAGCACTTTTTGCAGAGTTGGATGTCCGCTCGAGCGGGATATTTCACGCTCGAGCGGGGAGTTTTTTTTGATTTTTGTGAGAGAAAAAATAAAATAATTATGAATTTGATGTGACATTTTATCATATTCGACTAAAAAAGCCAATTTTGTCTTATATGGTTATTTTAGCCCAAAGTAGTATCCCAAACATAGTATATAAAAAAAAAGATATAAAAAAAAGGTATATATATATTTTAGTGTAAAAAATATGTTAATATTTTTATTTTTTTTCTTCATGCGACTAATAAATTACTAACTAAAGTGATTCAAATATCATATGAATTCAAATCTATAAAAAAAATGTTAAAAAAAATTATCATATGAATTAAAATTTTAAAAAAATTAATATAATTATGTCAAAATTTCGGATCTCAATGTAATTTTTTTGGATAAATTACAAATACACCTCCGGAGATTTGCTTAAAATATATTTGCCTTCTATGATTTTGAAAATTATATCTCACTTCTTGAAGTTTTGAATTTCATAATAAATGACACATTCTTTTAATAAATCATAAAGTCAATTATCAGTTTTTAAGGATATCACAAATTTATTTCAAATAATAATTAAGATAATTTCATTATTGTATAGGAGAGCAATTAGTAGTTTTATTTTTTCAGTTAATTCTATTAAATAAAAAATTATGATAAATAAATATTTGTAATTTTTTAAATTATAGAAATAAGGGAGACTTATTTATAAGTCCTTTTTCAGACACTGGTTAAGTCCTGTGTAATTTCTTATAGAGTCTCAAGTTCTATTTAGATAGGAATGTATTCCACAAGATCGTACATAAACATAACGTGACGTGACACTTATATAAACGTAACGTAACGTGACACTTACATAACCGTAACGTAACACCTACATAAACGTAACATAACGTGTCACGTTACGTTTCGCAAACTTAATGAGTTTTTATTTTTTTAAATTGAATGTGAAAATGTTGCTGGTTTATGTTGGTGTCACGTTACGTTTATGTAGATATGGTCTATGGTAACATTCAATTTCTTAAATAGGTGTCACGTTACGTTTATGAAGGTGTCATGTTACGTTACGTTTATGTAGATATGATCTAAGATAACATGCAGCTTCCTATATAGGAAATTACATGTTACCATAGATCATAGGTGTCAAGTTACGTTTACGTAAGTGCCACGTTACGTATAGGTGTCACGTTACGTTTATATAGGTGTCACGTTACGTTATGTTTATATAGATATGATATATGGTAATATTCAATTTCCTATATATGATTTTACTATTATTTCTGATATTAACAACTAATATTGAAGGTAAATGTGTCAACAAACTTCCTACAAGACTTATGAGAACATAAATTTTTTAATAGGACCATATATAATATAAGTCTCCCTAATAGAAATTATAAATAATTTTCCCTAGAAATAAATTTATATTTGAAACAAATCTTAGGAATTGTTTGTAAATTATTATTACTGTTTTTTTTATGGGACTTAAGCTTAGGTTTAGTTTGGTGCGAAGAAATTTATCACACGTGTCATTCTTTGTTTCCTCTGTTTTGTAGTTTTTCGGAACTGACAAATTGACAAGAGAAAAGTTAGGGATCATGAAATTTTTTTCATGAAAATGATCATGAAAGATTTATGATTCTTGGATTACCTTGATTAGTGTATGGTGCTTTATTCTAAGTGTAATCTAACGGTCACAAATCTTTCATGATTATTTTTATGAAAAAAATTTCATGACACCTACCATTGCTGAATTGACAATTACTTCGAAGCAGAACCACATCCCAGAGAGTCACAAAAACGACGCCGCTTTAAGGACACGATGTCGTCATACCATAGTGTCCAACTAACCGTAACCATCCCCATGGGATAGTTCGTTACGATACGAACTTACGAAGAGCTCGAAACAGAAAACTAAAATCTGAGTGAAAATTTTTATTAAAAAAAAATGGGGACGAGAGAGAGGGACTCCCTTTCTCTCTGGGTTTGGAATTCCACCGGAAATGGAGGATCAAAGCCACCGTCTGCGACCACCACCGCCTCTGCTACTCCTTCCCATTATCATTCTGGCAGAGAGGTCTGATTTCTCTCATTCCCCCAAACTTTCCCATTTTTGTTTGGTTCTTGGGAAAAAAAATTCTACGAAATATGAAACATTGAAAGGATCATAGACTGTGATGTGATTACTCAAATGCAGCTCCGTTTTGGTTATGCCTTTTATTTCACACAACCTTCCAGCTCAATGAATGAATTTTTCATACACTTAAAAAAAAAAATGAATTTGACAATTTATAATCTGGTCTCAACCCAAATTCCTCTTTTTATTTCTGTATTATATGTATAATTTTGTTATTGGGATTGATTTGGCTCCAAATCACATGTATTTGTTTATTTCAAATATTTTGAGTTGCATAATCCTGATTAAACATGACTTTCTTGATTCAAATTTATTTAATCATAAATTTAACTATTTAAATATGTACTTTCCTTGATTATTCATTGAACTTGAATTTGAAAATTTTAAGTCATCTACCATGACCCCAAGCGTAAAGAAGGAACTTCATTTATTGAGTATTCAAGCTAAATGGCAGACTTCTTGATACAAAACATACTGCAAATTTTGTATGTTTGACTCCCAGGCACAAGTACACTATAATCTAGTGTCTTATTTCGTAGATAAATTGGATACCTTTATATTAGAGTCATGTTATGTGATCATGTAACTATATAAACTTCACATGTCTGTATTTTGATCAAAGGTCAATGTTTAAGTGGTATAGATGGCAATTGTGTTTTTTTTTTTGTAATTTTGTTTGATTGTAACTCATGGGACTGTTGTGTATATATCACCATTTGATCTGATCCTCAATGTTGGAGTAACTAATTAAGGCCTTTTATTGTGACTTGCATAGGCATTCTGCAAAGTCATTCGCAGCTGGGCTTGGAGAAAGTTTATGTCAGGATGGTAAATCCTCTTCTTTTTTATGATTCATTGGGTTTAGTTGATTCCTTTATAGTGATTTTATGTTTTTCAAAATAAAAAATAATAATTATGCAGAAAATATTTGCCATGATACTTAGAATGAAGCTAGTAAATAAAAGAATGAGATCGTACCACCCATTTTTTTTGTTCTAAAAAAAAAAAAAAACAAGTGTGATGTGTTTGGTGATATCTTTGTGGTGGTAAAACTAGTAAATGAGATTTTACTGCCCAGAAAACTTCTACACAGCATGATTCATCGGCTCCATGAGGAAGTCTATGTGAAGTTTGCCTTGTAGAGTTGTACTTCCTCTCTTCACATGTGCTTGTCCTGAATGTTACAATTGTTGGTTGGTTCATGGTTTAATAGGATCATGAAATTGTAGTTGTTTTTGGGATAAATCATATATCTAAGTATTTGATTATATATAATGTGTTTTGGCATACACTTATCATGAAGCATTTGGCAGGTGGGTCACAACTTAGGGTGATGCTATGGTACATTTAGGTGTACCATACATTTAGTTATCAACTTATATGATTTTATATCATAACCTATACCATATTAGTCATAACTATCACCATATTAACTCATAACTTAGTTATATTCAATTATTTACTTATACCATATTACTTCATAACCAGGTCATTAAAAGTGACCTGCTAAACAGGTCACTTTTTATAGTTATGAGCTAAAATCATATTTCTTCATAACTATAATCAAATTGATCATAACTTAGCTATAACTACATCTCATAACCAACACCATTTTGTTCATAACTAATATCACATATTTCATAACCACATCTCATAACCAACACCATTTTAGTCATAACTAACATCACATATTTCATAATCATAATCACATATCTCATAACCAACACCACTTTGATCATAACAAATATCACATATCTCATAACTATTGATCACATATCTCATAACCACATCTCATAACCAATCCCTTTGAGTCATAACCAACATCACATATCTCATAACCAACACTTTTTATTTTTTGTCATAACTAATATCACATATCTCATAACCACTAATCACACATCTCATAACTACTACCCACATACATCATAACCACATCTCATAACCAATCCCTTTGAGTCATAACCAACATCACATATCTCATAAACACTAGTCACATATCTCATAACCAACACCTTTTTGTCATAACTAATATCACATATCTCATAACCACTAATCACAAATCTCATAACTACTACCCACATACATCATAACCACATCTCATAACCAATCCCTTTGAGTCATAACCAACATCACATATCTCATAACCACTAGTCACATATCAGTTTCTCGATACCTTCTTCGAAGCTCCACGTCGCAAAAGATTAAGTACCTTCACAGCGACAATTCTTCCATCAATAACTCCTTTGTACACAAGGGCTAATATGTATTGGGTCCGAAAGACCACTTTTGAGAGAGATGAACGAAAGAGACAGAGAGAGAAAAGAGATGAGAAAAGAGATAGATGAGTGAGAGACATAGAGAGAGAGAGAGACAAATAGACAGACAAATAGAGAGAGAAGAGTGATGAGTAAGAGAGAGAGAGAGAAAGAGAAGAGAGAGATGGAGATGAAAAAATGGATGAAAAGGTATAGACAAAGAGAGAGATAGAGAGAGAGAGAGAGAGAAAAGAGCGAAAAGAGATAAACGAGAGAGAGACAGAGAGAGATGAGCGAGAGAGATAAAGAGAAGAGAGATGAGAGAGATAAAGAAAAGAAAGATGGACGAGAGACACAGAGAGAAAGAGAGACAGACAGAGAAGAGTGGTGAGTAAGAGAGAGAAAGAGAAGAGAGACAGAGACATAGAGAGACAAAGAAGAGTGATTAGTGCGAGAGAGAGAGAGAGAGAAGAGAGATAGAAAGATGAAAAAATGGGTGAAAAGAGAAATGTTCAAAAGAGTAAGACGACGTCATTTTTATTTTATTTTTTGTAACAGAAAAATACCGTTGTATTTATTTAAACCATTTTATGACTATATATATATGAAGCTGTCTCAAAGCCACAATATATATATATATATATATTATTTTTTTTTTTTTTGCAACGGTACGTATTACAATCGCAAAAAACTCTTTTTTTTTTTTTTGCGACTGCAGCTGGTACCGTTGCAAAAACTCTATTTTTTGCGACAGCAATCTTTGTCGTCGCAAATACTCTATTTTTTTTTTGCGATAACAATCTCTACTGTCGCAAATACTCTATTTTTTTTACGGCAGCAATTTCTACTGTTGTAAATAAACTATTTTTTGCGACAGCAAGTTGTGCCGTCGCAAAAAGTTTTTGCTTGAGACGGCAAGTTGTGCCGTCGCAAAAAGTTCCGTCTCATAAGCCCACTTTTCTTGTAGTGAATCGTAGATAAAATTTTTCAGCACATTTTTTATTAAAATTTAGTCAAATTATTTATATATATGTCTATGTGTATATAAATATTTTAAAATGTATATTGTTTGTATATTACCCTTTTTATTGTATTTAGTAAATAAATCTAAAATAGAGATATGTGGTTAGTGGTTTTGAGTTGGTTATGATCAAAGTTAGGGGTTATGGGTGAAAATGATGTTAGTTATAAGATGTGGTTATGAGATATGTGATGGTGGTTATGATCAAAATGGTATGGTTACGAGCCAAAAGGTATTGGTTATGAGATGTGGTTATGAGATATGTGATTAGTGGTTATGAGTAAAGTGGTACAAATGTACCGAGGAAAACATAAAGAAAACAGTGGTATGAGCAAGTTCTCCACTTGGCACAAAAATATCACAACCAGGCAACTTGGTAATTTAATCAATATACCAACATATTTAAACATTCTAAAAGCAAGAATGCAAACATAAAGCTATACTTGGCAGATGAACTTGTAAGAAAGTGATATAGATAATAACTAACGACGGTTCATGTTATGTGATCATGTAACTATATAAACTTCACATGTCTGTATTTTGATCAAAGGTCAATGTTTAAGTGGTATAGATGGCAATTGTGTTTTTTTTTATACTTTTGTTTGATTGTAACTCATGGGACTGTTGTGTATATATCACCATTTGATCTGATCCTCAATGTTGGAGTAACTAATTAAGGCCTTTTATTGTGACTTGCATAGGCATTCTGCAAAGTCATTCGCAGCTGGGCTTGGAGAAAGTTTATGTCAGGATGGTAAATCCTCTTCTTTTTTATGATTCATTGGGTTTAGTTGATTCCTTTATAGTGATTTTATGTTTTTCAAAATAAAAAATAATAATTATGCAGAAAATATTTGCCATGATACTTAGAATGAAGCTAGTAAATAAAAGAATGAGACCGTACCACCCATTTTTTTTGTTCTAAAAAAAAAAAAAAACAAGTGTGATGTGTTTGGTGATATCTTTGTGGTGGTAAAACTAGTAAATGAGATTTTACTGCCCAGAAAACTTCTACACAGCATGATTCATCGGCTCCATGAGGAAGTCTATGTGAAGTTTGCCTTGTAGAGTTGTACTTCCTCTCTTCACATGTGCTTGTCCTGAATGTTACAATTGTTGGTTGGTTCATGGTTTAATAGGATCATGAAATTGTAGTTGTTTTTGCGATAAATCATATATCTAAGTATTTGATTATATATAATGTGTTTTGGCATACACTTATCATGAAGCATTTAGCAGGTGGGTCACAACTTAAATATGATTAACAAAAAATTTTGACATTGGTTGCAGTGTCATTCTATTTCCAATAGCCATTACATGCTACTTCACTTGGAGTTTCATTCATTTGGTGGATTTCTTCTCTCCGATCTACCATCATCTGGGGATCAATTTCATTGGTAAGTACTTTCATTTATCTTCCGCAATTCACCAAGCAACTGTTCTAGTAGTCAAACAATTGAAATGTTTATGCTTTATAGAAGAAACTTCTCTTTTCTTGGATCTTACTTTCATGATTTAGAGAGGGAATGGTTTATCAACAAGTATCTTGGTTCAGTATGATTATTTATAAATATATCTTGGTCCTTACAAATGTATCACTCTAATCAAACTAGTTATTTTTATTTTTCAGAAAACAGATTTTGAAAACAAAATCGAAGAGGGCGACTAAGACTTAAAAAATCCTTGTGAATTTGAGCTTTATAGCATTAATTTGCATGATTAAGGACTTATAATTGTCAAAGCCAATAATTTTATTCTCGTTACATATATATGATTCATTACACAACACACAGGTCTTGGATTCATGACCTCCATCACTTTCATCCTCTTAGTCGGCATTTTCATGTCCTCGTGGTTGGGGTCCTCTCTCCTTGCTCTTGGGGAATGGCTTATAAAGAAAATGCCACTTGTAAGCTACATTTATGCCGCCTCAAAGCAGATAAGTGCAGCAATTTCACCAGGTAATAGATAAGTATGTTCATTTTGTTGTCTCTACTCCAATCAACAAATTTTCTCATATTCAATAGTATGATAACAGATCAGAGCTCTAATGTCTTCAAGGAAGTGGCCATCATAAGGCATCCACGAATTGGGGAATATGCATTCGGATTCATCACTTCCAATGTCATTCTTAGGAGGAATACAGGCGACGAGGAGTTCTGCTGCGTTTATGTACCATCCAACCACCTCTACCTTGGAGACATTTTCCTTGTCAATTCAAATGACATTATGAGGCCCAATTTATCTGTTCGCGAGTGTATTGGTATGTGTTACAAAACTACAAAGCATACTGGAATATTCTTCCCAACCATAAATCTAATGGGTAACACGTCTTTGTATTTGATGTGATGCAGAAATCGTTATCTCTGGGGGTATGTCGATACCTAAAATTTTGACTACAGACGATGCGTCCATTCCAACAATTAGAATCGGCAACTTTGCTCCGTAAATAGGCTAACAGTGAGGCCAAGTTTTGAAGAAAATTTGTGGAGGCTTGAAATTTGCAAAGCATAGTGGTTAGAATAGATGACCCATGATTGTAGTTCTTTTTGATAATAATTTGAGCAGAGATAAAATCCAAATTGAAGAAGTGAAGCCTCCCCAGCCACATAGAGCTATAAGCTTATTAGTAGATTGTTGTTTCTTGCTTCCTTTGTTTATATATTACTCATATGCATGTATGTATCAACTATATATCAATCTCTTGCATTGTCAATTGAAAGAGTGACCATGAAATTCTAAGGATTACAATTGAGTGGCTTTGGGAGGTTTAACGGCTAAATCTGAAATTTGGTCAAAAAACAACAATGCTACGTGAGTGGGGAAAAATTACCTACGAATGAGATGGCTCTTAAAAATATTAACAGAATGTGAAGACTCGAATGAATCTAAGATTGTCCTGCTGAGGTGGTCAGTTGGGGACTTTCAATGCTTAAGTGATGAATCTAAGTAAATTAGTAAGTTTTTTTTTTTTTTTTTTTAATGTAGGATAAGATTTTAAGAATTTTTATATTTTTAGTTTTAATATTCTTGATATATTATTTTATTAGGATTATTGTAATTTAGTATAAATATTTTAGAATTATTAAGTTTCCTAAATTTTATTATTTTAGAATTAGATTTTGACTAGGATTTTAAATAGTTTAGAATTTTAGTTTCCTTTTCTCTTAGGTTTCTTAATTTGTGTTGATTTAAGTTTCCTAATTTATTTTAAAATTACTTTTCTTACAAGTATTAGATTTAGTTTATTATAAATATCTATGTAAACCTCATGGCAAAGACAACTTTTATTCATTCAATCAATAATATTAAGATATTTTATCTTCCGTGTGAATTCAAGGTTCTATTTTTCTCTTTCTTGTGGATTCAAGGTTCTATTTTTCTCGTGGATTCGAGAGCCCCTTTCGTCTACTAGAACGATATCTAGTCCCCGTTTATTCCGCTGGATCAAATAGTATCAGAGCAAGGTTTTTCGTGGCTCGATGTCATTCATCGAAAGAGGAAGCACAAGCTCTATTGACAATGATCGTAGCGAAAGATCTAATAGAATTTGAGTCAAGAGACTTGTCCAAAGCCAACCTGTTAGTCACAACGTTACTCGGAACCACGCTATGGGATTTGTCCAAGGGCAGCCTATTAACCACAACATCTTGAGACGATCTTCTCATTATCAATACAATAGTGAGAATGATTTTAAAGATGAGTTATTCGAGGATTATGGTGAATATGAGTCGGTAAGACGACAACAAAAATTCAATGATGTGTTCAATAGCAATAATTGCATCAATCATGACTTTTCATGTTATCAAGTACCACCAGAAATTTCCTATTTTAATGCTTCTTGTCATGCCGAGGATTTTATTTATTGGTTTCGCGAAGTTGACAAATTCCTTGAGTGTATGGAAATCTCTGAAGAAAAGCAAGCCAAACATATTACGCATAAGTTACAAGGTTATGTTTCTACATGGTGGAAACAATTTCAATATGATCGAAGACGACAATACAAACAACCCATCAGGACGTGACATAAGATGAAGAAGTTGATGAGTTCTAGATTCCTTCAATCAAATCATGGGCAAATATTGTATCTACAATATCAAGGAAAGCTTGAATTGAAATAATTGTTCCAAGGTGATTCTGATTCACAATATACTTCACAACTCAATAATTATTATGCAATTGTGGATACAAATTATTCGAGAAATATGACTATGGCTTTGTCAAGTTTGGGTCAATCAAGTCTTGTAGGTCAAGAAATTTGTCACACTCCACCACGCATTGAAGAAGAAAAGATTTCGAGTACCTCAATATTTCAAAATTTTGAAGGCCCAAACAGACATTCAATTGAAGTAGAAAATCAAGTTGATTTCAACAACAACGAGAACGTTGAAATTGATGAAAAGAGGTCACTGAAATTACTTTGATCAAGAAGTTTGAAGAAGATGATGAAGAGGTGAAACAAGAGAAAAATGTTGAAATTAGCCAAGAGCTTCTAATAACGAAACTATCATCTCATGATTATTATGATGGTTATAAGATCGCAATGGAGATCAAGTTGAACTCAATGAAAAAGAAGAAATAAAAGATGAGATAATAAAGTTGACATGTGCACCAAAGAAGTTGATTGAGGATGCAATTGATATTCCAAGATTGATAATTGAATGTTCAACTGATTCTAAGATAGAGCAGAGTCCAAAAAGTATCCAACATTAACATAAAATAGACTTCGTTGATTTTCTTGGTGTAGAGCAATTTAATTTAATTTTCAATGCTTGTTTAATTGACCTTGTCCACCAGTTGAAGCATGTAAAGAATAACTTTCAGAAAGTAGACTTCTCTGCATATAATGTTCGGAAGAGGGACAAACAACTGAAGTATTCCAAGTATTTTTTTATTTGGGTGGGAAGATGGCAGATCTCTAATATGAACTCGAGGACGAGTTCTTTCAAAGAAGAGGAGCTTGATGTACGACAAGATTTTAAGAATTTTTATATTTTTAGTTTTAATATTCTTGATATATTATTTTATTAGGATTCTTATAATTTAGTATAAATATTTTAGAATTATTAGGTTTTCTAAATTTTATTATTTTAAAATTATATTTTGACAATGATTTTAAATAGTTTAGAATTTTAATTTTTTATTCTCTTAGGTTTCCTAATTTGTGTTGATTTAAGTTTACTAATTTATTTTAGAATTACTTTTCCTATAAGTATTAGATTTAGTTTATTATAAATAGTTATGTAAACTTCATGGCAAAGACAACTTTTATTCATTCAATCAATAATATTAAGATATTTTCTCTTCCAATTCAAGGTTTTATTTTTCTTATAGATTCGAGAACCTTTTTATCTACTAAAATGATATTTAATCCCCATGTATTCCGCTGTGTCAGTTTTGATGTTAGTGATTGTGTAACGTGCTTCCTACCATGTGTCCTGTTTGACCATCATGCTAATTGCTCATCTAACTAAAATTAACTCCTTTGATGTGAATTTAGTACCTCTAGGGCATGTTTGATTGGGTGAATTGGTGCATGAAATTAAGATTATTAATTCGTTGGGCCAATTATCCTATGTTTGTTTTAAAATTTTGATTTAAGATTATTAATTCAATGGATAATTAATCCAACAAATTTGTAGGGGTAGGGGTGGAATTATTAATCCAATAGATATTAATCCAATTGGATAGTGAATATCACACTAATTTAATAGGATTATTAATACTTCACTATGGCCATGTTTGTTTGGGTGGATATGAACTTGGGATTGGACTAATAGTCTAATAAAATTATTAATCCGATGTTTGGTTAAACAATTGAAATATGGACTAATTATTTTAAACTTGACTATTAGTTAAGATAGGATACATAATCCAACGAATTCGTAATCCTAGGATTATTAGTCACGGGAATGCTAATCCAGTCCGCCCAAACAAACATGGCCTATTTGTCTTATGAATCAAGCATGACCTAGTAATAAAGCAATTCCATTGAAGCTCATCCTGTATCAACAAATTACTGTATTTGTCGGTCGAAAAAAAAAAAATACCGTATTGAATGGCAGAGAAAGAATCTCAGCTACTTACAGAGAGCTGCATTTTTATAAGTAATGATTAAATTATAAATAAGCGTTCTCAAGCAACAAATCCGTTGTCGTCCAGCGGTTAGGATATCTGGCTTTCACCCAGGAGACCCGGGTTCGATTCCCGGCAACGGAATTCCTTTTTGTCTGAAAGAAAGTTGTTATATACTTTATACATATGACCAATCAAACAAAAACACTTTTTTTCTTAACTTGATCGATTAAACCAAAGTTGTCAAGTGGAAACTCCAAAAAACTATACTAGTTGCTTATATATTTTTTATTTGATTAATTAAATTAAATTAAATTAAATTGTTTGTAAGATTTCATTATCTTAGAGTATTATATAATTGTATTTAACACTAATTACAAAATAACACTCCTCACTCTAAAGCGGTTAACATAAATTTATTATATAAATAAAATAAATTTAAGCAAATTAAACTTGACTTGAATCCAAGTCAATAAATTTGTAATAGTCAGAGAATTTCCAGATGTTTTTCCAGATAATCTTCCAGGAGATTTGACTGACAGGGAGATTGAATTTACCGTTGATGTGATTCCATGTGTCCTGTTTGACCATCATGCTAATTGCTCATCTAACTAAAATTAACTCCTTTGATGTGAATTTAGTACCTTAGGGTATGTTTGATTGGGTGAATTGGTGCATGAAATTGAGATTATTAATTCGTTGGGCCAATTATCCTATGTTTGTTTTAAAATTTTGATTTAAGATTATTAATTCAATGGATAATTAATCCAACAAATTTGTAGGGGTAGGGGTGGAATTATTAATCCAATTGAATAGTGAATATCACACTAATTTAATAGGATTATTAATACTTCACTATTTGTCTTATGAATCAAGCATAACCTAGTAATAAAGCAATTCCATTGAAGCTCATCCTGTATCAACAAATTACTGTATTTGTCGGTCGAAAAAAAAAAATACCGTATTGAATGGCAGAGAAAGAATCTCAGCTACTTACAGAGAGCTGCATTTTTATAAGTAATGATTAAATTATAAATAAGCGTTCTCAAGCAACAAATCCGTTGTCGTCCAGCGGTTAGGATATCTGGCTTTCACCCAGGAGACCCGGGTTCGATTCCCGGCAACGGAATTCCTTTTTGTCTGAAAGAAAGTTGTTATATACTTTATACATATGACCAATCAAACAAAAACACTTTTTTTCTTAACTTGATCGATTAAACCAAAGTTGTCAAGTGGAAACTCCAAAAAACTATACTAGTTGCTTATATATTTTTTATTTGATTAATTAAATTAAATTAAATTGTTTGTAAGATTTCATTATCTTAGAGTATTATATAATTGTATTTAACACTAATTACAAAATAACACTCCTCACTCTAAAGCGGTTAACATAAATTTATTATATAAATAAAATAAATTTAAGCAAATTAAACTTGACTTGAATCCAAGTCAATAAATTTGTACACATTATAAAAAAATTAAAGTTACACACATTAATTTAAATAAAATTGAGTATTATAAAATTTTATTTAACACTAATTACAAAATAACACACTCCCCACTCTGAAGCGGCTAACATAAATTTATTATATAAATAAAATATATTTAAACAAATTAAACTCAACTTGAATCTAAGTCAATAAATATATGCACATTATATAAAAAATTAAAGTTATACACATTAATTTAAATAAAACTTGAGACCGTCTACAAAAATCAAACGTATCAAATTATAAGTCTTAAAAGTTTTTCTATCCAACTATGTTATGAATACATAAGAATTTTATTAATGTCAGACAAAGAAATCTCATTTGTGTCTTATTTTATGAACTTTTATTTATTTGTCTTATGTATTTAGGTTTCATTTATCCTCTTAAAAACCACCTTATTAGTTTTAAAAACCCATTTTGTCAACCAAAAAAAAAAAAGAGAAGTCATTTGGACATTTCCATTTTCATTCACATTCAAACTACTCCAAAATTATATTAGAAAACTAAAAATAAAATAAAATAAACTAAGAATGTGTCAAGAAACTATTTTTTATTAATTTATTTTCAATGAATAAATTAACTATTTGGTTTTCTAATAAATTACACTCACCTCACTTGAGGTTGGAGAACATACAGTTAACCTTACACTTTTGACATAATTATATTAGTATTCCCTTGAAGTTTTAATTTACATAATAATTAAATCATTTTTCATCAATAACTCATTACTCATATGAATAAAAAAATGATATTATTATATCTTTAATATTAAAATATATATATTTATTTTAATATTTACATTAATTTCAATCACTTAATTTTATTAAAAAAATCAAAATAATTTTATCAAAATTATTAAATTAACTATATTTTTTTGGAGAAAAAATTAAGCTCTGTTTGGTGGTGCACCAACTTTGTTGTGATTGGTTGAATTAGTGGGACTCATTGCACTTGTCTCCCAATGAATGGTATGGGGCAATACCTCAAGACTAACCAATAACTTCTTTTCGAAAAGAGTTTTTGAATTTTGAAAAAGGTTTTGATTTTTGAAAAGAGTTTTGAGTTATATTTTGAATTTTGAGTTATATTTTACATTTTTTGGATCTATTTTTTTTAAACTATAAAAAATTGTTTAAGAAAATTTATTTTTTCAATTTTAATATTTTAAACTCAAAACACAACTCCACACTCAAATCGTAACTTAAAACTAAATTAAAAAATTATTTTCAAAATTCATAACCAAACACATAATTCAAAACTCCACAGTACTTTCAAAACTCCACACTCAAATTATCACCAAACACATAACAAAAAAAATTAAAATATTTAAAATAAAAATTCTATATTTAAAATAAAATATTTTTTTAATATTTTAAATATTTTAAAAAATACAATACACAAATATATGAAATATAGTGCACATTAAAATAAAATAAATAAATAAATATTTAAAATATAAAATATTTACCCTAAAATTTAAATATTTTAAAAAATAAATTTCAAAAATTTCAAAATACAACTCAAAACTCTTTTTAAAACTCATAATTAAACAAATTTTCTTTTCAAAATTCATAACTCAAAATATGACTCCACACTTAAATCACGATTCTAAAAATAATTTTAAAAAATAAAATAAAATAATATTTTTTTATTTTTTTTTTTAAAAATAGAATTTTGAAAGAATTTAGTTTTAAATTTAAAAAGAATTTTGAGTTGTATATTTAATTATGAATTTTTAAAATAATTTTTAAATTAAATTTTAAGTAATTTTAAATTGTTGTGTTTAATTATAAATTTAAAAAAAAAATTAAAATTTTTAATTGAAATCATGACCAAACGCGGGTTTAATCAAAAGTCCCTGGTTTTATTATCGAGGTTTAAAGAAAACTGAGGTGTGGTTTGGGAAGTGCTCATTTGGGTTCTTTTGACTCTTTGAGTTACAAAAGACAGAATAGGCTATTTGAGCTATAATAGATAAAATATCACATTCAATTCATAATCATTATACTCTTCTCTTACAAAAAAATCAAAAAACCCTTCCTAAATCAAACTTTTAAGCCCAAGCTTAAATAACAAAAAAAAAATTAAAAAGTCAAAAAAATTAACTCTCTTCCCAAACGGAACCTAAGTGTAACCTGGTCTCGTCGGCCGTATGGCCCATCGATTTGGAGCACGTACTGGCTCACATCATCGAACAGCACCTCCGCAACACGTGAAGTGACTCCAAAAAGCTTTTGAAACCCCCCAAGCAATTTCGCGTGCCACTCTTCTTTGATTTGCCAGTTTCTCTGCTTTGGGTTCCAAAAGGACATATCGCATAAATAACAGAATAAACCTGTGGAGGTTCTTCCCAATCCTATCTATCTATCCACCTCTCTATCTCTCAATCTCTCTCTCTCTCTCTCTCTCAATATCTTCTCTCTCTCAATATCTTCTAACATTATTTCTCCACCAGGTTTGTACTTATGAATTCTTCAATTTTCCATTATCTCCGGCAATGTCAACATTAACTTTCTTTTTCTTTTTCTTTTTCTTTTTCTTAGTGATCTGTGTTCGATTCTTTGCATTTTGATCAATTGCTTTTGTACTTGTTTCGCTCAAGAATCTTTTCCCTGCTTTATTTATTTTTTTCCAATCGATGTTCAGTTGATCTAGATACTCAACTCGCCTTTGTTCCCAGTTACTTGGGCCCGGGTAATTCGATCTAGAGACTCTTTTTTTGTTGTTTTTGGAGCTCTTTTTGAGAATTTTTTGTGCGATTAGAGTTTACATTTGATTGGATTTGTTAATTGATGTAGTTTGATAATAGACATAGTCAGTTTTTAGGCAACCCTTTGTTTGGCTGCGGAGAAAGCAAAGGATTAGCGAATTAAGAAAGAAAGAAAGAAGGAATTGGGAAAGAGAAAATCTCAGAACAACCCATGATTAGTCACTGTTGAGTGTAGCGCTTTCTTTTTTGCATCTTTTGGGATTTAAACAATGAATAATCTAAAAATATAAGCAAATTGTTATTTGTTTGCAATATGAGAGGGAGGGTTTATGCATGCTCAAGGTTTTAAAAAGCGGCCGCAACCGTTACGTAACGGTTGTGGTCGTTACCGCCACCCGTTACGGCCGCTTTTGCGGTGTAATTGAGATTCACAGGTGTATCGGTTGTAGCGGCTGCTATAGCAGTCGTAACGGCCGTAACGGCCTGTTACGCACCGTTACGTAACGGTTTTGAATTGCTTTTTTCGAAAAAAAAAAAGTTGAAAATGGGGAAGAGAGATAGAGAGAGAAGAGGGAAGATGGAGGAACAAGAGATAGAGAGAGAAGAGGGAAGATGGAGAACATGTTATTGATTTGTTGAAGCTGTAAGGCTTATACTATTATATTCAGCTGCTATCACTCAACCATTTTATTTGTGTGTGTCTATCTATATATTGTTTAATAATAATAATAATAATAATAAGTGTGGTCATTATCTATTTTGCTTGATTAATATATATATATATATATTTAAGCTTTTATTTATTCTCTTACTTTTGTCATTGTTTATCTTATATATACTAGCTAGTGATTGATTTTTTGTATAATATAAAGTCATTAATTATTAAGATAAAATGTAAAAAACTCAGTTTGTAATGATTTGAAAATATAAAATATATTGGATCAAATTAAAAAATTTATAAAAATTAATCAATATTTATTTTAAAACCCAATAAATATGATCATGGAAAAAAAATGTGCGTATCGGTAAGTTTTTTTCAAATTGTGAAAAAAAGAAAAAATTCACGGTTCCGGTTACCGCAACCGTTACGCTACAGCCTTTACAACCCACAACCGCAACCGCTACCGCTCCACCGCCACCGTTACAGCGACCACAACCGCTTTTCAGAACCTTGTGCATGCTCCTTGGTTGATATGGTTCGAAATAAAATAAAGATTTATTGTGAATTTTGAAATTATTGCAGATGGCTTCATCTGCCCTTATCTGTGACAAGGAGCAATGGAAGGACTTGAAGGTAACTAGTGTCAATCTTTATTTTTTGATAGAGTTATGGAATTTGTATTTGATGTGAAGAATGTATCTCTGTGTAGGCCCATGTTGACGACATTAAAAAGACGCATTTACGCGAATTGATGAGTGACTCTGAGCGATGCAAATCAATGATGGCGTATGATACTCTATTCAACTTGTTCAACTTATAATCTTCTTTTCTATTATGTAAATATTGATGTCTAGTATATGGTTAGCAATTAGCATTGGAGTGTAATGTGAATCATAATGTTTATGTCTTCTATAGTGAGTTTGATGGGATACTATTGGACTACTCGAGGCAGTGTGCCACTCTTGAAACAATGAATAAGCTATTCAAGTTGGCAGAGGTACATTGGACAGTTACTCTTTTGGGCGTATGAAACAGTATATATATTTTAATTGTGCTTCCTTGTGTCATAATGCAGGCTGCGTGTCTTAAAGAAAAAATTAACAAGATGTTTAATGGGGAGCGGGTAAGCAGGATTTTACTTTCTTCTTCCAATCATACATGAACTTCTGTAAACGGATTTATATAGTTTCCTGAATCCTGATGCAATGCTTAATCAAGAGGCACCACTTTGAATAGTTAGTGTCCTGATCTTGGCATTTGATCAGGCAGCAATTTAGAACTGTTTATGATAAGTTAGGTTTATGGTAAAGCTGACATACTGCTCAAATATTATGATATCATGATCATTTTATTCTTTGATATTGTTTTCTGTGGCACATTCAGATAAACAGCACGGAGAACAGGTCTGTCCTTCATGTAGCTCTTCGTGCTCCAAGAGATGCAGTTATAAACAGCAATGGAAAGAATGTCGTCCCAGATGTTTGGAATGTTCTGGACAAGATCCGGGATTTTTCTGAGAGGGTGCGCAGTGGTTCTTGGGTAAGGTTCAGTTGTTTATTACCATCTAATAGAGCCCAGTGTTGCATTAAGTGTTACTAATGGGTACATATTGGTAGGTTGGAGCAACAGGAAAAGCATTGACAAATGTTATCGCTATTGGTATAGGTGGCAGCTTCTTAGGTCCTCTTTTTGTGCCTGTTTCTTGGTCTTCAAACAGGTTGGTTTTTCGCATTCCAAATTTCCAATCTTCAGCATTTTGAGAAATATATCAACCAATTCTGATTCTTCTTTGGTCAACATGGCATTCTTTAATTTTCCTTCTCTTGGCATTTTGCTTGTTTAAAAACCTTGACAAGCATTTATGGTTTAACTCTTGGCAATCTACAGATCCAGAGGCTATTGAATGTGCAAGAGGACGCCAACTGCGCTTGTGAGTACACGTTATATAATTGTGACTCTTTTTTTCATGTGTTCTTTTTTGTCTTTTTATCAGTGAAAGAAAAGATCTTTACATCACTATAGTAACTGGATATTACTTCGCTCTTTCAGCTTTTCTCCGCCAGGAAATTATAGTTCATGAGCTTGTGCTTTCAGTTTTTCTAAGCAGCACGTCTAGCTCTATGATTTGATTTGGGTGAAATTTTTGCTATGCATCACTTATGGTCGTATAGGTGAGAGTTGACTTAGGCCTCGTTTGGCAATTCACTATTTTAACCTAAAGTCAAAAGGTCACTAAAAAAACTAAAAGCCAACGACTTATACCAAAAAGTCAAAGATTCCATTTACTCTCTACTTTTTACACATCTTTTCGTAAAAAATCAAAAAGTTATTCCAAACATACTAATTTTTTTTATCTTATATTTTAACCAAAAAATCAAAAAGTTACTAAAATAGTATATTCTCAAACGAGACCTTATTGTAAAGACAACTGCTTTTCTTTAAACATATTTAAACTGGATCAATTTTTTCACTTTTCAAGATTACATTTAAGACACTGCAAAAGACTGGAAGTACAGTTTTTTAAGTTTTGGTGCCATCCCTTCTGTATAAGCAAGACACATTTTACAGAAGGCATTTCCATATGTGTTCCACATGAAAGTGACTGTATCTCATGATGAGTGTCCTAAGCGGCTACTGTGATGTGTAAATTCCAATATAAAAGGTTTTGGTTTATCATCCAACAAACCCAGTCATAGTTTCATAAATACAATTACAAGATGCCACATGCTTTTAGTGGGAGAGGAACCCAGCATAAAATTACAACTATGACATTTTGTGATTGAGCATGGATTTATCTCAGCCTGCTCCTTTTTCTTCTTGTGTTTGCACTTGCAGTCTTGCAAATGTTGATCCAATTGACGTTGCTAGAAATATTGCTGGGTTGAACCCTGAAACTACATTAGGTAAACTAAGTTTTTATTGTTTGCTTTACATTTCTGCTGAGCACTATATACTTGCCACCTGATCTACTTTTGGGGTTTCACATCCCTTTCATTGAGTTTTTATGTGTTTTTTGCAGTTGTGGTGGTTTCAAAAACTTTTACAACGGCTGAAACTATGTTGAATGCTCGGACACTTAGGGAATGGATCTCATCTGCTTTGGGGTTAGTTTGCTTGCATGTGCTTTCTTCTTTTAAGATATGGGCATAGTGAGAGTTTCGATCTGAATTTCAATGGCATTAGGAGAAATTTAACAATCAGGAGTCAGTATGTATATTGACAGAAGTTTGAAAATCAATTTTAAAGGGAAATGAAATTGGTTAATATAAATAAAATAAGGGAAATTAGTTGTCTACTTATAATTCTTTGGTCTGGAAATACAACAGAATAATCAAATAATTGGAAATTCTTAGGACTTTTCTGAATGCGGATTATTTTTATTTTTATTTTTAAATTATTGCCTGTTTCTCTCTCTCTCTCTCTCTCTCTGGTCACACAATTGTTGGCATTTTATATTGCAGGCCTGAGGCTGTTTCAAAGCATATGGTTGCTGTCAGTACTAATCTAACGGTATTACGATTTGCTTCATCTTGTGATTCAGTGGTCAAACATCTCCTATTTTTTGTTCAAATATGTGTCTATTTGCTGCTCTTATTTTATCTTTTATCTGTTGTGCTTAGGTGGTAATGTCTACAATCTAAATCACACACATTTGTTTATTTATTTTATCTTTTATTTGTTCATATATACCTCTTTATTTGAGCTCAAATTCGACAATATTAGTTTCTTGGATAAGTAATAGATTATCAGGGTCTTCCATGAAAAGCTGTTTCTTGGTTAATACATGCCATTTTTCTTTGGATTCAATTTGTATATATCTTCTTGCATATCCTCTTTAATCTTGTATAATTGGAAGCTTGTGCTCCAAAATAAAAAATAAAAAAACTCTTGTTATTTAGTATAATCACAATCAAAATGAACACTCTTGTTACAGAGAAATTTCAGAATGTCCTGAAACAGAATTTTTTAAGTCATGAATGAGAACTAAATCTGTTTAGCCATATCTTCTATGCATAATCTTTGTTTAAGAAACAATGATAGGGAAAAGGAATGAATTACCATAAAATAAAAAAAACCAAGAATATTATGCATTGCACAGAATGAAGAGTATAACACTTTGGTTTGACCATTTTGATATCATCTCTGCAGTACACATTGAAAATATTTCCTTTTTCCTTAATGATTTTCTTTGGTTTGGAATATCCTTTGCTTGTATCTTTTAAAGGCAATATAAACAAGAATTTCAAATTGGTAAAGCCTGAGTTATTTGTATAACCAAAGTGTAATTTGTTAATGCAAGGTTATTTGGTATACAAGCAATTGAAAGTGGGACCTAGCAGATGAGTCAAGACAGGAGGACCATAGCCAACAAAATTGTACTGTTAAAATGAGATTGACTACTTACCTTTGCGTATAAAGTAAACAACTAGAAAAGTAAAGCAAGGCTGATGAAGCAAACCAAACAAATGGGTTTGTAAATCCAAGCCACTAATAAGTGTTTCCTTTCATCCTCAGACATGCATTATGAATTTACTTACAAGATAGGGAATTACCACACACATGGAATGTTTGAGTGAACCTCACCTTAAACCTAACTTAGCTGTACAAGTAGTACGACACACGAACACACACACGTGTGAGCTCATATATGTACAGACCACATAAATTACACACACATGTTCAAGCACATGCATGTACAAACATATGTGTACCAGCCACATATATTGCACATGGAGCACTGTGACATGTCAAAATTTAAACCTGATTTTGGTTTAGAAATTCCTAACTCACTTGATTAGATAATATTGATCTGGTACAAAGTTAAGTTTACTTATGTAACCCTCATCTGTAAATTCTTTTAATCTTTATTACAGCTTGTAGAGAAGTTTGGGATTGACCCCAAAAATGCTTTTGCATTCTGGGACTGGGTTGGAGGCCGATATAGTGGTAAGTATATTGGCTTCTTTTATTTTTATTTTTATTTTTATTAGTAATATTTTCCCCCCCTTTTTGTGAAGCTTATGGTTCTATGATCTTTGAACACTGTTCTCAGTTTGCAGCGCTGTTGGAGTATTTCCTTTATCTCTCCAATACGGGTTCTTGGTTGTTGAGAAGTACAGTAATTTGCACATTTCTCTTATTTAATTGCAGCAGATTATTTTTAATAATTTAAAAGTAAATGTAACGCCCAAATCGAAAATGATATGTATAGCCAGTGTGTATGAGATGTAAAACTCAGTCTTTTAGCTGCTTTAAGGAAAATTCATATTGCAATGTAAGACATTCTTTATAAAATGAACTTGGTGAAATACCATCTCTTCCTACAAATTTTGCATATGAACATGAAACCTTGGGTGGCCTTTGCAGACTGTAGTTTTTCCCTCATATGTCGTAGTTGTTTCTTTAGTCCTGATTGCAATTTGAGTTGGCATGATGGATGGTTTCACACTTCATTCTTACAGTGACAATGTCGAGTTGAATATTATTGCCATTGTATATTGTCTCAATCTTTGCGAATAACACGAAGATACTTTTCCCTTGCATGACTATTCAACTTCCTTGTGTAGTCTTGGAAATTGATGAGGAGTCTTCCACATATACTAGATGAAAATAAAAGGTCATATCAATGAATCTTCAGTATTATATGCTCTACAGTCTGAAGTGGCGTTCACCCAAACTTAAGCCTTCTTCTCATAGTTGACACTTGACAGCCCAAGCTTTTAGTAAATCAACAAGCTAGATGGATAGATAATTTACACTGTCTGGACTTTTCTGATCTATGGTACTTTTCTTAGTAGTTATACAATATTTTTAGTTTCATGCCATCCACAATTCAGCAATTTATATTGTCACCATGGTTTCATTTTTATTTTATTTTGGTGGGTATTTGCCAGAATTTATTTATTTATCTATTTTTTTTAACTTAAAAGGTTCCTGAAGGGAGCTTCAAGCATTGATCAACACCACTACACCTACATCTATATAAGGAACCATTTGTAATAGACACAATAGATCAATAAACATCAATCAATAATATACATCAATTTTTCTTACATTTTATATGCCGCAAGAATAGTTGATTAGTCTAGTTAATGTTTTTGTTATTGTGTGACAATGACTAGGCTCAAAATCATGGGTCCTAGGAATAACAGCATAGGCTGAATTTATATACTTTACAAACTTCTATTTGTCTGGAGCGCTAAATGTCAGACCCCCTGAATTGTGGGTTCATGCCCCAAAGTCTGGGCTTAATATACAACTATGCTTTTTAAAGATTTTTCTGATCCACTTTGGAGGTATTTTAACAGATACTCTTATGGGTTGGGATGTTGATCAATGACATTGCTTCATTTCTCCAGGTGCTTTTAGGTTTGTTGAGCGTATGGAATGTCTCATTTCTTGGATATCCTGCAAGAGTAAGTACATTACCCTGCTACAGAGTTAGTTGGAATTACCATCTTTTTTAGAGTTCTATGATGATGTTATTTTCATAACATTGAAACTTCTGATATTCTTCCAGGCCATTTTACCTTATTCTCAAGCCCTGGAGAAGCTTGCCCCTCATATTCAACAGGCACGTGTGCCATACCTTTGCTGCTTTGTATTATCTTGCAAGCTTCTTGTTGACGCTCTTACATGCTGCTAAACTTACTCAATATTTAGGTTAGCATGGAGAGTAACGGGAAAGGGGTATCAATTGATGGTGTGGCTCTTCCCTATGAGGCTGGTGAAATCGATTTCGGTGAACCAGGAACAAATGGTCAGCATAGCTTTTACCAATTAATTCACCAGGTAATTTTCATGCTCTGTTTTATATATAGTACTCCAGTTGCCAACAAGTAAATGTTCTTACAGATAATGACCATATAAATAGTAAATTCATACATGAACTAGTTACATCTGACGCTTCTTGAAGTGTAAAAATATTTCTTATTTGAGGCTGCTAATGAGTGGTTCAATAATGTTATTTTTCTTTTTCTCTAGAGTAGTGTGTATAGCATGACACTTGACCTTTTAATAAGAGGTGTTATGTAGAACTTAAATTTCTTGTTGACTGATGAAATACAAAACTGATTGCCATGTTGCTGCTGGTGTATTTGTGTTTGCCTTGTACACTTGATTATATTTAGCTTGTATATATCCGTTCCATAAGTTAAAACCTCTGTCCCTATAATTTATCTTCTTGGAACCTTCAGGGGCGAGTTATTCCTTGTGATTTTATTGGCATTGTGAAGAGTCAGCAACCTGTGTACCTGAAAGGTAGCTAAGTCTTTTGCTTTATTCTTCTTAATCACAAAGCTTGATCTCAGTAAACGAGGTTCTTGGAACCTTCAGGGGCGAGTTATTCCTTGTGATTTTATTGGCATTGTGAAGAGTCAGCAGCCTGTGTACCTGAAAGGTAGCTAAGTCTTTTGCTTTATTCTTCTTCTTGATCACAAAGCTTGATCTCAGTAAAGGCGGTCTTTAGATCCTTTCCTTTGTGTTTCCTTTTTTTTTTTTTTACTTTTTTGCTTTCTTGATGGTGACTTTATCTGTTACATAATTTTCATTGAATTTGTGTTGCAGGTGAAGTGGTGAGTAACCACGATGAGCTCATGTCTAACTTTTTTGCACAGCCAGATGCCCTTGCTTATGGGAAGGTAAATGAATTATTTTCCATAACCTTGTCAAGGTGTTGTTTATGGGAAGGTAAATGAATTATTTTCCATAACCTTGTCAAGGTGTTGTTTGACACTATACAAAATTCTGAAATGTTTTGTTTGTTTTCCATATGCAATTGCTTAAATTCATATCTCGAAATCACTGGATTTGTTTCTATTCATCTGCCTCTAGTTTCCAACTTCTATCTTAATGCCAGGATATCTAACTATATTTCGCATATTTATAGACCCCACAACAGTTGCAAAGTGAGAATGTCTCCCAGCATCTTATCCCTCACAAGGTGATTTTTCTTCTGTCTATTATGTTCTCTACTGTTTACAGTTGAACGTTCGTTCCTAACAATTGCATTATCGTTCACAGACCTTCTCTGGCAATCGGCCTTCTCTCAGCCTTCTACTTCCATCGTTGAGTGCTTATAATGTCGGACAGGTTTGGGGCCAACCATTTTATCATTTCATGAAGTAGTTTGTGCATGTTGATAATCATTAGAGGTTTTCAAGAATTTCAAATTGGTCTTATATATTATTGTCTTTAGCACATTTAGCTGTCTGAAGTTCCAAGAGGTCTATTGAGATTATATCGTAAGTGCATATCTAGAATCTCTATGACTGGGTATCCAACACATGCAGATGTTGGGTCTGGTCTTGGTGCATATTCGGTGTCTTCTTGCTAACTCTAAGTGGTCAACGTATCTGCCTATGTGATCTAATCCCACAAATTCTTGATCTGTCTTCCTCAGTTGCTGGCATTCTATGAACACAGAATTGCTGTTGAAGGCTTCATCTGGGGTATCAACTCCTTTGACCAGTGGGGAGTTGAGTTAGGAAAGGTATGTGTTACTTCAAGAAAACTTCCATACCAATTTTGCTGGAAATTTGAGTTAATGCATATAATATGATAGTGGTGTTGGTGGTAGATAGTGGCATGTATAGAATATGATAGTGGTGTTGGTGGTAGATAGTGGCATGTATATAATATGATAGTGGTAGATAGTGGTAATATATAATATGTAAGTGGCATATAATGGGTTATAATGATGTTTGTAATATCTCCTATATAAGGAGTGTCATTTGGTCTTGTAAAATAAGAAGTTTTGAATATAACAGAAATATATTCCTTCTTCCTCATATTTTCGGAGTTCTTCTTCCTCATATTTTCTAAGTAATTTTTTCTTTTTAAGAATTTAAACATGCTTTTGCAGTTGCTCTGCTTCATGGTTATGCTGTTTTCCAAATAAAATGTTACTTTATGTTCATCTCACGCGATTTGCTGTCTTCCCTTTTGCAGTTGCTCTACTATTGAAAGTATTGTTTTTGTGTTTTTTCCCTTCTCCCTGTTCCTTGACAAATATCTTACCATGCTAAATTGCAGTCGCTGGCTTCCCAAGTGAGAAAGCAACTTCATGCATCTCGTAAGAAAGGAGAACCAGTTGAGGGCTTCAATTTCAGTACTACAACAATGCTAAACAGATATCTACAGGTATGGGAAAGTATCTTTTATATGTGCATATTTATATCATATGCCCACCTTCTTACATCGGCCTATATCATGTTATGTGAATATGTATCATATGTCCCCACCTTACATTTATTTTAGTGTTTAACTGTGCATTACGAAACTCTGGAATCTGAGCATTCAAACCTCTCTATGCTTTAAATTTTTAATAAAATGGTTTGTGGTTGCAATTAATAGAGATTTTATGAAGTATTATAGAAAATAAACTCAATGAATGATTGTGGCCGCTCAACTTCATTGGTAGCCAACTCTTTTAATAGACATGATTGTGTTGTGTGTGTTAATCAAAATGGGTCCCTCTTTGTGGTCCTGATTCCTTTATAAAAAAAAGTGCACCTCTCATCTAGATCAAGACGTTAATTATCACACATTATTTGGATTTCCAACGACTTGCTTTATTCTTGTGGGAATACAACTAAACTTATTTCTCACTTCACAGGATAGTTCGGATGTACCTCCTGATCCATCCACTCTTCTTCCTCACATGTAAGTGCTTTTTAGTTGAAGGAACTGCTAGCAATCTTTCAGATGAGTCTGTGGCTAAGACCTCATAAGCTTCAATAAAGTAGGGGCATTACTATCTTTAACTTCTCTAAATGTTCTACGACCCCTGCTTTTTGGCAAATTTTGTTCATTTGCTTCAAAACTGATTTGGAATTACACAATGTTTGTCTGTTCGAAGTTATTCCTGAAATTTTCTCGATAATATTGAACTGAATTCCTTGTTTGGGTTAAATAATTGGAGGGCAGTTTAAATGAAATATTAGGCATTCTTGTTTAACCAACCTGAGTAATAAAAATTTTAGCAGGCCTAGAAAGCTCCGCTTATTAATTTTGTTGTTTTTCAGATATTTGGCCGATGTGATGTATGCTAGCAAGTTTTGCTGAAAATAAGGTTCTGAAGTGAAATGCTTATTTGAAATTTGAAATGTTTTAGCTACACTTTTGAACACTCTTATGATGCAAAATGTGGAGGAACTGGCTTAGAATAGGAATGGCAACGGGCTCGGGATTACACTCTCTATTCCCGATCTTCGATTGTGAAAATCTCCCCATCCCTGGCCCCGATCCCTGACAGAAAACCTATCACCGTCCCCATCCCCGTCCCCTAACGGGGGGATCGGGTTTCCCCAACCCCGAAAATTCTCCGGCCCAAATCTGTCCAACAACACCATCAACAACATCATCATCATACATGTATACATACATACACAAACAGATCATCAACAACAAATCTATTTTTGTTTAAAAAAAAAAAATTCAAAACAAAACAAACTGTTTCAACAACACCATCAACATACACATACATGTATACATACATACACAAACAGATCTATGTATTTGCGTTGCGGACGGAGGAGGACGATCGGTGACTGTGACTACAACTATTATGACGAAAGAGGACGATCGGTGACTGTGACTGCGACGACGGAGACAATGGATGATGAAGGAGGACGATCGGCATTGTGGACAATGGCAGTGGCATTGAGGAGGAGGAGAGGTATGAGAGTGAGAGAGAGAGTAGAGAGAAAAGAGAGACAGAGAAGAGACATATATATATAGAGATAGAGAGAGAGAGAGGGCAAAATAGTAATTTCACTTTGGGGACAAACGGGGACAGAGATGGGCCGGGTACAGGGCTAGGACAATTATCCCCGTCATCGGCCTCGACCCGAAATTGATCGGGGATTAATTTTTGAATACTATCCATGCTCGCCCTATTGGAGATATTTTTTCAGAAAAAACCTCTCAAATCAAGGTCGAAGGATCAGATTCCTGTCGAGCCGGTTTCAAATTGCCATCCTTGGCTTAGAAGATTGCCCAACCCAACATCTCTTTATGGGTATCTCAATTTCATTTTAAGTAAATATTAGTCCCCGTTTGGAAAAAAGGTTGAAGGTTAAAATAAATGGCCAATCAATAGCTTCACTTGGAAAGTTGGGTTGGCTTTTGGACTATTTTAGCCCAATTAAAAAATTCGTTTGATTTGGCTTTTTTAGTTTTCATGAGAAAAAAAAAAAGTGAAATGATTATAATTTAAATGTGATATTTGGTATTTATTGACTTTTTAATCTATTATCTTTTTGTGTTTAATATAACTAAAAAGCCAAAAAAAAGCCCACATCCCAGACGATACCAATGACTTATTTTGAAAAATAGGTTAAAAATTGATTTTTTATCTCGATAATATTGAACTGAATTCCTTGTTTGGGTTAAATAATTGGAGGGCAGTTTAAATGAAATATTTGGCATTCTTGTTTAACCAACCTGAGTAATAAAAATTTTAGCAGGCCTAGAAAGCTCTGCTTATTAATTTTGTTGTTTTTCAGATATTTGGCCGATGTGATGTATGCTAGCAAGTTTTGCTGAAAATAAGGTTCTGAAGTGAAATGCTTATTTGAAATTTGAAATGTTTTAGCTACACTTTTGAACACTCTTATGATGCAAAATGTGGAGGAACTGGCTTAGAATAGGAATGGCAACGGGCTCGGGATTACACTCTCTATTCCCGATCTTCGATTGTGAAAATCTCCCCGTCCCTGGCCCCGATCCCTGACAGAAAACCTATCACCGTCCCCATCCCCATCCCCGTCCCCTAACGGGGGGATCGGGCTTCCCCAACCCCGAAAATTCTCCGGCCGAAATCTGTTCAACAACACCATCAACAACATCATCATCATACATGTATACATACATACACAAACAGATCATCAACAACAAATCTATTTTCGTTTAAAAAAAAACAAAACAAAACAAAACAAAACAATCTCTTTCAACAACACCATCAACATACACATACATGTATACATACATACACAAACAGATCTGTGTATCTGCGTTGCGAACGGAGGAGGACGATCGGTGACTGTGACTGCAACTATTATGACAAAAGAGGACGATCGGTGATTGTGACTGCGACGACGGAGACGATGGATGATGAAGGAGGACGATCGGCATTGCGGACAATGGCAGTGGCACTGAGGAGGAGGAAAGGTGTGAGAGTGAGAGAGAGAGAGTAGAGAGAAAAGAGAGACAGAGAAGAGATATATATATATATATATAGAGAGAGAGAGAGAGAGAGAGAGGGCAAAATAGTAATTTCACTTTGGGGACAAACGGGGACAGAGATGGGCCGGGTACGGGGCTAGGACAATTATCCTCGTCATCGACCTCGACCCGAAACTGATCGGGGATTAATTTTTGAATACTATCCCTGCTCGCCCTATTGGAGATATTTTTTCAGAAAAAACCTCTCAAATCAAGGTCGGAGGATCAGATTCCTGTCGAGTCGGTTTCAAATTGCCATCCTTAGCTTAGAAGATTGCCCAACCCAACATCTCTTTATGGGTATCTCAATTTCATTTTAAGTAAATATTAGTCCCTGTTTGGAAAAAAAGGTTGGAGGTTAAAATAAATGGCCAATCAATGGCTTCACTTGGAAAGTTGGGTTGGCTTTTGGACTATTTTAGTCCAATTAAAAAATTCGTTTGATTTGGCTTTTTTAGTTTTTATGAGAAAAAAGTGAAATGATTATAATTTAAATGTGATATTTGGTATTTATTGACTTTTTAATCTATTATCTTTTTGTGTTTAATATAACTAAAAAGCCAAAAAAAGCCCACATCTTAGACGATACCAATGACTTATTTTTAAAAATAGGTTAAAAATTGATTTTTTAATATTTTTTTAAAAAATGTGTAAAAAAAAAAGGAAAATAATATGATCTAAAAAAATTAAAAAGTCAAAAAATTGTTTTTAACTGAGTTGTTAAAACAAACTAAAGTAAGTTAAAATAACTAATAAGATAAAATATCATATTTGAACAATAATCATTTCATTTTATTTCTTATAACCATTTAATAATTATAAAAAAAAAAAAACAACAACTATCTTTCCGAATATAACTTTTTAAACTAACCTAAAAGAGTTAAAGTTCTCATTTCCAAATATTTTATCACAACAAGCATACACTTTATATAGATTTACCATAAGTTTTTTATTCTTTTTTTTTTTTCTTTCTCAATCACCATTCACTTATTATTAATTTAAGTCAATTTGCAATAATATAAAGTATTACAGCATTTTTTTTGTATAATTTTACTATATCTATGTTTATATAGTGAATTTAAAATAAAGTATAAGCTTTTGCATATTTGTTTCACTCTTTTTTATATTTTTTAAATTTTGTAAACATTTTGTCAATTACCAAACGCGTTTGTAGTTTATGTTTTTCTAAAAAGAAACAAAAAATAAACAAAAACCAGTTTATAAAATTTTTGTAAATATAAACTGAAAACGTAAACGTTACCAAACACACCCTAAGCTTTTGCATATTTGATGTTGTTTTTGTTTTCTATTGTTATCATTTTCTATAAAACACAAGAAAAAAAGTGTATTTTAAAACTAATTCTACACAAATGAAAACAATAGTGTTAATAAACTTTTTATTGTTTTTATTTCTCAACATACAAAACAGAAACAAAAACAAAGAAAATCAAACATTACTAAAAACACAAATAAACTTTGTTTCATTTTACACCAAGTGCATACATAAAAACATCCATTCTGAAAAGAAAAAAAAAAATGCATACATAAAAACATAGATTCACCAATACCTAAAAGTATAAGAGTTAATGCAATATTTTCAAATATTTTTTTCATTACTATTGACAGTGCTTACAATGTGCTTGACAAAATTACCAAACAAAAGATAACAAGCTTGTCCCATGAAGCATTCAAACACAGTAAAGCACTAATAATGCTCATATGCAATATTGACAAAAAGCACTAGCAAAATTTGAAACCGAAGAGCCTCAATAATACAATCAAGGTGTTCTAAACGCCTGTAGATCCAAACCCTCCAGCGCCTCTAGCAGTCAAATCCAAATCATCAACCTCCACCACATCCGGCGTCAAGATAACCTGAATGATCAGCTGTGCAATCCTATCGCCAACCTTCACTTCAAAATCGGCATCTGAATGGTTGAACAAGATGACCCCTACTGGACCCCTGTAGTCTGCGTCTATCACCCCCGCCCCGACATCAATCGAATGCTTCCATGCCAACCCAGATCGTGGTGCTACAAAAACAACATGAACCCAGGTTCAAAACACAAAATCAGCACCCCATATATAGATTTATAACAGCATCTTCAATCCTTACTCTTTTCTTTAATCAAGTTTCAATGGAAATTTAGTTAAAAGCTTGATATAATAATGTTGAAACACTTATCCTCCTTACAGTGGTGGTGTTTGGGAACCACGTTCCCAAATTTTTTTCTCATTTTTTCCACTAAAAGACAAAGGTTTTGTAAAACCAAAAAAAATAAATACAAACAAAATATCACATCCAATCTTATAATCATTTTACTTTTTCTCTCACAAACATCATATCTAACCACAAAAAAATCTAACTATCTTCTCAAACACTAAATTTTATATCTAATAATATCCTACAATTAAAAAAACCTACATAAAAACTTACTCCCAAACACCCACACTGTATTTAGTTAAGGAATTTGAAAAAAAAAAATTAAAAATAAAAAAAAAATGTGTATAAAACTAAATGAAATATAAATATATTTTATTTATTTTTAAAATATTGTTTTCTTTTTACTTTCCAAATTTTTTCTTAAATTTCCTAACTAAACACAATGTTAATCAAAAAAATTAAAAAAAAAATTGGAACTCATGCTATAAGAGCATCTCCAACCCATCCTCCATATCTTCAAATATGAAAGATCTTTTCTCAAAAACAACTCAACCCATCCTCTATATCCTCCTCCATTTAGGAGGAAAATGAATTGATCCTTCAAATATAAATGAAGGATGAAAAAATAGAAAAGACTCTAAAACACTATTCACTATATATTTTTTAATTATATTTGAAATAACTTTTAATGTGTAAATTTAATTTTTATAAAAATAACATCAATAAAAATGAATATAATATTAAATATGTTTTACCAAAATTTTAAAATTAAATATTTATTAATGAACAAAAATTACTTTTTGATTGGAATTTGAATGAAGAAAATAAAGGTTTATGGTTGGAATTTAAATGAATAATGAACTACTCTATATTTACTTTTTGAATAAAAAATATTATTTATATCCTCTTAAAAAGAGGATGTGGTTGGAGATGCTCTAAACCAAACTTAACTAAGAAAACTTCAATTCTTTTTCTTCTTTAAATTTCATCAATTTTGAATAAAAATATAACTAATGAAAAATTAGTAAAGAATTTGGCTTATTTTGACTCTCCTTTGATGTGATACAGATTTGATAAAATCATTAAAACACAATTTTAGTCAGTTTTATCAAATTCAAATTTAATGAGAATGGAGGAAGGATTCAAAATGCTCTGAACATATACACACACGGAGAGATGGGGAGACAATAGAAAGATAGAGAGAATATACCGATCCGAGCGTATGTTCCTTGGGGTATTGCTATGCTTAGATCCGTTGGGACCAGTGCTTTTCCTCTAGCAGGTACTTTGATCTCAGTTGCGCTGAATGTACAATTAACAACTTATTACACTCGTCGAAGACATACATATATATTAATTGATGTAGTAAAACTTTGCTTTCCTTATGTCAAAGTGATAAGTTCTATAATTTTTTGAATTATTTTTTTAAAAAGTGATTTAAAAACTTTATTTTAAAAAAGAATCTTTATTTAATTTTTGAAAAAATACTTTATTATGAATTCAAGTGTCCTTCCAATTTAAGAAGAAAAACAATTTTTTTAAAAAAAAAAAATTATCACATCAAAAAATACTCTCATGTTAGTTTTAAAAAAAATTTATCTAATTTTTAAAATAACTAAACAAAAAATCTAAAATTTTAAAAAAAAATTAAATTTAAGCCAAGTTTGACATCTATTCAAAAAATTAAAAAATTATCACTATTCACCAAAAAAATATTAAAAAATTAATTTTTCACACAAAAGTATAACTCAGCAACCATGAGCAGTGCAACGTTTGTTAAAAAAAATTATACAATTTGAATGCAATTTTCACACTGCTGTTCGGCTCGTGAGAGCCCATCACAAATTCCATTTTAATAATCTAAACCGTTCAATATATAAAACTCGTCAAGTACTATATATCTATAAAAAATCACATTGATAAAATAATTATATGATCAAATTAATTTTGTATAAAAAAAATAAATAGTGTTATAATTAATGATTGAAAAAAAAACAAATATAATCAAATAACTATTGATATTCAATTGATGTAATTTTTTATAAATATATAATACTTGACGAATTTTACAAATTAAACAATTTAAATTATCAAAATAAAACTCATGATGACCTCCACGGACCAAACAAAACCGTCTAAAATGTAACCAATAATTTCTTACCATCAATTCGACTGTGCAAATTATAAGACTGTACAACACACATCTCTAATCTTCTTCTAGACACTTCTTTATACAATTTTTTTATAAAAAATTTAAAAAATTAACCTAAATATTCATATTTTTTTTCTCAACTTTTTAATTTAAAAAGACAAAAAAAAAAATTATTTAAGACACTACAAACTACTCTAACAAGAACCAAACACAATAATGTAGTAATACTCGTAACAAGGAACCAATAAGATGTAGTAATACTCGTACCACTTAAATTAAATACATATTATTAAGTTTATTATATAGATTTTTTATTCTTAAATTGTACCTCGAGTGTGACACCGCCCACTAATACCTACAAAACGCACACAGATGTGAAGAGAGAGAGAGAGAGAGTAATACCTGGAAAGATCATAACCAACAGAGAGAGGGGAGGCTCTGGATGGAAGAACAGCTTTCTCAGAAAGCTTCTTCACTTTCAATGGCGGGTCAGAGTCGAATTTAGGGGCTGCATCTCCATGGAAGCCGTTCTGCTCAAGCTTCTTGATCTTCGGAGACGATTCTTTGATTTCGGAACCGTTGATTTGTGGGTCTTCTTGTGCCATCGCTAGGACTCGATAGCAGAGAGAGCAGAATGGGATTGAAGGGTTTAGAAGATGAAAGAGTTGGAGAGACGGATTTATAAGTATATGGAATATTTGCCCGCGTAAAATTTGTTCGATTAATGGCGCCCAATATTCCCGCCAATTATTTCTTTTGTTTTTAATTAAATTATTCTAATCAAAGTGATAGAGAGTTGAATCACAATTAATCGAATCATACATAAATCCACAATTTAAATGCATCAATATATAGTCCCATTTTTATTTTTATTTTGTTATTTTATTATTTTTGGGCTAAAATTATTGTGTTTTGAATGATAGTTTGATTTTTTTTTTTAAATGTTAGAGACCTCAAAAGTTAACATGGGTGTGAAACATAAATTTTTTTTATCAAATATCTCACATAGATGTGTGACTTATACCATGTGAACCCATATCATGTGGTTCCTACACTCATATGAGATATTTAGTAAAAAAATTAATCAAATTTTTAGAATATCTAGCATTATTCTTTTTTGTAGTTAATTTAATAGTTGAAAGAGAAAAAATAAAATAATTATGATTTAGATGTGATATTTTATTTTATTAACTATTTTAACTTATTTCATCTTTATCGACTATTTTAACAAAAATAAAAAATAAATAAACAAACAAACAAAGGAGCCTTTGTTTTTCCTTGTCTTTTTTGAGCTTTTTCTAATTAATTTTGTTGGAATTATTTTCTATAAATATGAGGTATGCCATGTCCTTCTAATACATCAACATATATAATTATTTTGTTTATTATTTTTTAAATAATATAATAACGTATTCTTTATGAGTCATACAGGTTGCCAAACCTACCAAGTGGCAAACCATTTATGAAGTAAATTTTATCTAATTATTTGTAAAAACTAGCATAAAATGATATTAGTATTTAAAATATCAAAAATCAAATTAAAACACCACATATACATACCTTGTAACTATCATATAATTTCCCAATGAGATAAAAGAATACACTTCCATGGTTTGTACATAAAATTTAAAAATAAATAAATAAATAAATTGACTTTAAAATTCTTAACTTACATGGTAAGTGAAAGGTCAAATAGATGGACGCCACACATCGTAAATTTAAGGTTATTAAAAGTTTATTCGATCATTAATTTTAGAATTTCAATATTAGTTGAGGTACATATAAATTGTTTTGGACATTCAATTATAAAAAAATAATAATAATTTGATGCATTGCACATCCATCACTACTAAAGAAATGGCCTTTTGAGTCGGTTTTTTGAGTCGGCAAATTTTACCGTCGTAAAAGATAGCCTTTTTGAAACGGCACAGAGTTACTAACTCAAATACCAAACCTTTAGCGTCGGCACCGTTGGCCGACACAAAAAATTAATATTTGATAGTATTACTTGAGTCGGTTCAATTTACTGACGCAAAAGATAGACCTTTTGAGTCGACATAGACCTTTTGCGTTGGCAAATTTGTGCCGACACAAAAAATTATACCTTTTTGTGTCGGCAACTGATGCCGTAGCAAAAAAAAAAAATTTATAACCAAGATGTATATATATATTTACTTGATTATATTTAATAAATATATTTATTTATACATATACTTTTATATTAATATTGAGTATATATACTATAAATAATATATATCTCATTTAATATCTGAAAGAGGTATGGTGGTCAAGTGGACTTAGTGCGGTGACTTCGGGTCAAATCGTCCAAATGGAGTGTGTTTGAAACTTGGGAGCTTCAATGAGAAAATTGTGGGTTAAATTTTTTAAAAACATTTAACCACTTTTTGAGTCGGCAATCTACCGTCTCAAAAAATTGAAACTTTTTGCGTCGGCAGATTGCCGACTCAAAAACTTTTTGCGACCCCATCATTTTCGTCCCTTGAGTTGCCGTCGAAACGCCGTCGCAAAAAGTTTGCGACGGCATGCTGCCGACTCAAAAGCCCTATTTTCTAATAGTGCATGAAGCATAAAAATAAAAAAACATCATGATAATCTCATTATCAGCAATCTAGTAGATAATTTGAGGGAGCACACCATATTTTTTTTTACACTACTTTTTATACTCATTTAAAAAATTTATAAGATCTCTCACGATTATCAATCATGCTCTCACTTCTACTCTTATTTTTTTAAATGCTTCTTAAACTATCCAACAATTAAAAAATAATGTTTTTTTACAATTGTATGTCCTGTTTCACTACGTCGTCTGGTATAAGGATTTAAGGTTATCAAAACCTTCAAATGAATCTTAAAGATTGTTGCGAGGTTGTGATCCTCAAAATCAACAACCAGTTAAAGGTCAAATAGATGGACGCCACACATCGTAAATTTAAGGTTATTAAAAGTTTATTCGATCATTAATTTTAGAATTTCAATATTAGTTGAGGTACATATAAATTGTTTTGGACATTCAATTATAAAAAAATAATAATAATTTGATGCATTGCACATCCATGAAGCATAAAAATAAAAAAACATCATGATAATCTCATTATCAGCAATCTAGTAGATAATTTGAGGGAGCACACCATATTTTTTTTTACACTACTTTTTATACTCATTTAAAAATTTATAAGATCTATCACGATTATCAATCATGCTCTCACTTCTACTCTTATTTTTTAAAATGCTTCTTAAAATATCCAACAATTAAAAAATAATGTTTTTTTACAATTGTATGTCTTGTTTCACTACGTCGTCTGGTATAAAGATTTAAGGTTATCAAAACCTTCAAATGAATCTTAAAGATTGTTGCGGGGTTGTGATCCTCAAAATCAACAACCAGTTATCTCAATTACCTCAAAAGAATAATGGTATAATTACATAAACAATCACAAAAGAGAAAAATGATCCGTATTTAGAAAAGAAAAATGATTAGTATTTATTACTTATAAATCAAGTCACTTTCCATAAATGATATATCAAAATTACGTTTATCATAATGTCTCCTCTAACCTTCTCAAAATCCCACCACCTTAGATCTCTATCCCTAGTTAAAAATGATACACAATTTTATGTGGAAAACAGTAGCAACAAATAGTGGTAAAAGAAGGGGAGGGGCAACTAAAAACAACAGCAGTAGATCAATGACAAATGGGAAACAAGGCGATGGGTATGTGAAAGAATTTGTTGTTTTTAATTTCAAGATTTTTTTGCTAAAAGGTTATTTTACATAGGGTGTTTGGGAAGTTGGGTTAAGCTATTTAAAATAGTTAATAGAAATAAGTTTAAATAGTCAATAGAATAAAATATCACATTAAAATCATAATCATTTTATTTTTTCTTTCATAACCATTAAATTAACTATAAAAAAAATTAACTACCTTCTAAACATGGGCGAACCTAGGACTGGGTGGCTGCAGCCCAGCTCAAAATTTTAAAAATTTGTAGAATTTTTTTTCTCCAGCCCAGCCTCAAATAAGGGTCAATAGTTTTTTTTGTTTGTATTTTAGATAGACAACCCAACAATAGCAGCCCAATACTTACCCAAAAAAATAGATTGTGTCACGACCCAAACCCGCCCTTATAGGTTTAGCATCATAACCGACCGGTAATCCTTGGATTACCGAAAGTCTCTATACAGATTAACAAAATTTAGGGACTAACGGAAGCAAATACGTGAATATAGTTGTCTAATGAGCTGTGCTGACTTACATGAAACAGAGTATTTAAAACTTTATATACATATCCGATAGTCAACTACACATTATACCCACACACATTACAGTATCTTAAGTACAGCCAACATAATCAAATCTAGCCTCATACGTATATAGAATCAACAGGACTGAACACAGGACACTTCGGGAACCTCCACGCGAGGCGCAATGGTTGGCTGACAACAGAAACACAGTTCCAGACAAAAGTCGTCGGGCTCGATCTCCAGAATGTCCACCTATATATACATATATATACAAACAGTGAGCTAAAGCCCAAGATTAACAAAATTTAAGGGCTAACGGAAGCAAATACGTGAATATAGTTGTCCAATGTGCTGTGCTGACTTACATGAAACAGAGTATTTAAAACTTTATATACATATCCGATAGTCAAATACAAATTATACCCACACACATTACAGTATCTTAGGTACAGCCAACATAATCAAATCCAGCCTCATACGTATACAGAATCAACAGGACTGAACGCAGGACACTTCGGGAACCTCCACGTAAGGCGCAATGGTTGGCTGACAACAGAAACACAGTTCCAGACAAAAGCTGTCGGGCTCGATCTCCAGAATGTCCACCTATATATACATATATATACAAACAGTGAGCTAAAACCCAAGATTAACAAAATTTAAGGGCTAACGGAAGCAAATACGTGAATATAGTTGTCCAATGAGCTGTGCTGACTTACATGAAACAGAGTATTTAAAACTTTATATACATATCCGATAGTCAACTACACATTATACCCACACACATTACAATATCTTAAGTACAGCCAACATAATCAAATCCAGCCTCATACGTATACAGAATCAACAGGACTGAACACAGGACACTTCGGGAACCTCCACGTGAGGCGCAATGGTTGGCTGACAACAGAAACACAGTTCCAGACAAAAGCCGTCGGGCTCGATCTCCAGAATGTCCACCTATATATACATATATATACAAACAGTGAGCTAAAACCCAAGATTAACAAAATTTAAGGGCTAACGGAAGCAAATACGTGAATATAGTTGTCCAATAAGCTGTGCTGACTTACATGAAACAGAGTATTTAAAACTTTATATACATATCCGATAGTCAACTACACATTATACCC